GGTGCCCCAACATACCTACGGTCCGGGTCCTCCTCGGAGTAGGGCGCCTGAGTCCAGCCGTCGGGGTGGTTTTTAGTGGAAACACCACATACTCCTCCACCACAACAAAAAAAAGTCAAGCAAAAATTATAAACATCATTAACAAAAAAATTAATAAGAGAAGAAAACTAATAGACTAACTTTCGAAAAACACAAATTACTTCCTGTTTCTCTGCATCACCTAATGGTTAGCTAGTTGAGAATGATGGACATTAAGTCTGCCTTTGTACCCGATGTGCATCAACTGTGAATATATTAAAGAAAAGTAAATCATAATATGTTACGTAAATATACATTTTGCTCTATTTTTTGTCTTGTCCTTTAGTTTTAACACGTTCGCTGCGTTACCGTGTGGTACCACCAGTTCTTAGTGTGTACTAAGAACTGGTGGTTATAACTATAACTAGACTAATGTAAAACCTTATGTATAACGTAATATTTTTCTTTCAAGTGCGGTTACCAGGTCTATTAGAACTGGTATCAGAAACCTGGTATCGCACTGAAAGTTGGGTGTATTTCCAACAGTGATACATTTTAAAGAAGTTGTGTTTTATTAAGGTAGAAATATTGACGAGATCGACGACGATAGAAGAAGTTAGAAGCATATCGATATTTCACTGTATGTATGCTTAATTATTTATTTCTTGTTTCCATTCTTTACCATCCAATAAAAGTAATAATTGTAATTGTTTTGGAAAATGTTTGTGGAAGCTAAAATAATATCATTTGGACATGTACTCGTATTCTAAACGAGTGTTGATAGTTTATAGAAAAAACTTATACAATGGATGGATGGATAAAATTGCCATGGAAAGTCACAAGATTAATGTCCGAATTTTACATTATATATTACTTAGAGCTCAAATCCCTTGCGGACTTACAATTTCCTACGTAGAGAGATCCGAGTGAGCCACATGACACGGTTCCTATTTATACACCTTAATCGCTTCTTTAACATTTACAGCTCTTTTCATGCTGCTGCTGTTGTCGGGACGCAGATACAGACTGTACAGTCAGTATCAGTTCTTTAGAACATCACTAAAATTTAAGTCGTTCTATGGGTTACCGGATATTATCGACCAGGCAAATTTTTCGCATAATTGTAATACCATAAAATTATCGGATTTATATACGACAGCAGGGCTTAGACAAGCAATTTATGTAGATCATTCCTTTTTTTACAAATTGGATGTGATTTCAGTGAAATATCGAACTTTTAGATTTTGTAATATTACCGGGCCTTAGAGCGCTGGTACGCACCATGGCAAAGGTACAAACAGGGTCGATACTATCTGGTAACGCATATATTGACAGATTGCTGAGGAGTTTCAAGCAGTGAACGTGTTAAATAAACTAACTTTAAAATCATCACTTTCTTTGCGTTCAGCTCATAGAACTTTTGAATTCACAGACTTAAGTCAGTCTAATGCTTTCATAGTCTTTATTACCAATACAAAATAAACTAGACATACCAAAATGTTGTTTGTGACAAGCGACAAAAAAAACACACAACAAATAGTTGTTTCGATTACGAATATTCGTAATGGACGAAATGGACAAACGTAAGGTCTCCCGCAGCACAGTCTTCATTACTATGAAACGTCTTAAAAATTAGGAATAAATGAAATATATTAAGATAGCTATCAACAACTAGTTTGTAAAGCAGATTATTTATTAGCAACTAAGAATTTTAAATGAACCCAAAATCTATAGAAAACAAATTTAATATTCTTTGTTTAATTGCAAAATGGCGCGTCGGTGGCGTCGTCGTTGCAAAACTGGGAGCCTGGGAGCCTTTTTTTTTTTTTTTTTTTTTTTTTTCCGTGCGGAAATCCCCTCGGATACCACCTGTCGGTGGCATGTCGGACTCGAACCGACTAAAACCGCACGCCTTGGCCGGGTACTAATAGCCGGGGAAACAGGTATACCCTAGAAAGGAAGGCCCTGGTGCCCCGACATACCTCGGGTCTTCTACAGACGAGTAGACGACCCCCGCCCCGTGTGGGAACCCCATGTTCCCTGTGCTCCCTGGAAGCGAGCGCGCCGCAATCAGGCTATCGAGCGAGAGAACTCCCACTCCGATGGCCGCCACGAGGTCTCGCCTCTGCTCAACCCACGCCGGGCACTCTGCCAGCGTGTGGAGAGCCGTGTCCACGGTCTGGCCATCGCAGTGGTGGCACTCAGGCGTTGGCTCCTTGCGGATCAGACACAGGTGATCTCCGAAACATCCCTTCCCAGTGATCACCTGCGTCAATCGGTATGGGAGGGTCCCGTGACGCCTCTCGAGCCAATCCTCCATAACGGGTCTTACCGCCGCAATGACGGCGTGCCCGGCGCTCGGTTGCCCGAGTCGTTCCCTCCACTCCCCTATGATGACCTGGCGGAGTTGGGATTTCCGGTCATCGATTTCTCGAATCTCGGGGCATCGACCCAACTCCTGCGCCTCCTTGCGCCACTGATACAGTGCTGCAAGGGCTCTCGCCTCCAGGTCCCACGGTGGAGTTCCGGCCAGGAGACTCGCCGCCTTAAAGGAGATCGTGCGGTACCCCCTTATGATCCTGATGGCCAGCATTCGCTGCGGTCGCCGCAGTATCGCGACGTTGCTGGCCTTCAGGGCCCCCGCCCATACTGGGCACCCGTAAAGGGCCATGGACCGCACAACCCCCGAGTAGAGTCTCCGGCAGGAGTCATCGGGTCCCTTCATGTTGGGCAGCAGCCGCGCCAACGCACGCGCTGCCCCAACCAACTTGGGGACCAGACCTCGGAAATGATATCCGAAGTCCCATCGGGGAGCCTGGGAGCCTGGGAGTCTAGCAAAATAGCAGCATTTTTCCTTTCTTGTTCTACCTACTTTTAGTCTACGCCCAAATGTTTAGGTTATTTATACAGACCAAAAAATAGTTAAATTAATATAAATTATTCCACAGTTACTGTGTTTATTTACACATACTTTATATAATTAAATTTATGGAAGCAATGTAAATTCAATTATAATTATCCTTATTTTATTTCTATGAAATAGTAGGTCTACTGAGGTTTATGTAAATACGTTATCAGTAATGTATATAATACGTCATTATTATATTCAATCTTTGGGATTGTACTTAACTAATTCCTCCTAATAGTCAGAAACATTGTGAATTAACTGTTATACATGTGGTAATTTCCACATACCGCAAAACACAGCATTAAGTCCTACAATACACATTTCCCAGGAATCCTATACACTATTACTTCAAGACATGTATTTAGGAATCAAACATAAGACGACCATGTCTAACAAGCGATTAAATCATTCATCAGTTCTTTCAATAAATTGAAATTTCATTAAAGATTTACATAGTAATATTAGAAAAATAATGACCAAACGAAAAGTAAAGTTCCAAATAAAATAAGAACTTTCTAAATTGGTTCACAAATGAAGGATTTCTAAGGTAACAAACATAAAAACAATTGTGTCACAAACATACATGTTTTTTATTTGTGGAAATGTTTTTAATCTCATTTTATACTTTCTAGTAGGTACACATATCTCTGTAACCCGATCCAAATGTCATAGATACAACCAAATTCTTTCAATAATATAATCACGTATTGAACGTAATTATTTTATTGAAAGAACTAGCCCAGAAAGAGAACTCCAAAAAGTCATGGACCCTACCATCATCAGCTCAGTATCATAAACTGATGATAATAGAGCAGACTCAAATACCTCTGTATTTTGAGAAAACATGTTAAACACGTCCTGTAACCTGTAAAATTTGAGTTTCTCTCTCTCTCTGAGATCTCATCATCAAATCCTGACTTGGACCTAGGACCACTTTGGGAGTATATCCTTTCAATTATAAAAATAATTTTGAAATCGGCCAAAATTAACGAAGAAATCGCGTAACAAACATACAAAAAAATACAGTCGAATCGAGAACCTACTCTTATTTGAAATCGGTTAATAATTTGACGTTTTTAATTTACTATACGAGTACTGCTACTCGCTGCTGCTACTCGTATTTTTGAGTACTGCTGGTAACAGTTGTGCTCTATTGATTCTAGGTGACTTTTTGCAAAGTGTAAAACCGAATATATGTACACATACTCTCCACACATTTCTGAAGTAGAAGCTACTCAAACACAAATTATTATGATTACTAATAACAATAACTACACACATCTCACACAAGGCCGGCAGAGCTGATAAACATACTCGTACTTAACAAAAATACACAGTGATTCTGAGTGCTAAGCCAGAGGTCATAGATTGGATTGGGTCGAGACAAATAATTATATGATGAGCACGATCATTTGTTCTGTGTCAGAGTGTAATTTATCTATAATTACTATACATTTAGAAATATATTGTAAAAGTATGTTTATCAGTAGTCTGTTTACCATTTTTTTTAACTTTTGGAATCCCCTTCCGGCCGTCACCACACCGGGGTTTTGCAGCAAGGTGGTGGAAATCGAATCGACTAAAACCACACGGCGTGCTACTCCGCGCCTAACATAGGAAGGGTCCGGGCACAGCTGATATTGAGGTATCCGGAACCCAGTAGTCTGGTTACCGTAGTACAGGCTCTGTGTAGTTTGGGATTGGTAGTATGTGAAATGTCTAAGGTTTTTGTTATTACTACATATATAAGACTAAAGTGTCATCAAATAAGAATACGTACAACCAAAAGGGATGATGTAACGCTAATAATTTTAAGCAACTTTGGGATTTAGAATATTAAGATTAAAAATGAAACAATAATTTATTTATAAAAAATATAATGTAATATTTTTATCGACAAAAGAAAACATTAATTCTTGGAATTTTAGAGTGGCATTTGATGACTCCTAAATGTATGTATTTAACCTTATAACCTGCTTTAAGTTTTACTTTTTGTTTCTCACATAACTTTTTTTTTAAGTATACGTAACAGTGGTATATGTAAATAAACTATAACTAAGAATTGAACTATAACTTAGAATTTGTAAGATACGTTACAAGTACAGGCAACGGGAAAACTCAAATATTTTACGTCGATTTTCCTTTCCTTTAAATTATATACATATACATTACGTTGAGCATACGTTTCTTCACACGCTGATTTTAATCCCGATTTCGCTATAGACAGATCCTGGAAACATTGTTCATCACCATCTGGGATATATTTTTTCCTGTAATAAAAGTAAATTATTATCAACACCATCATCATCAACAGCCTTGAATAGTACACTGCTGGACATACTGTCCACGCTGGCTGGACGGGTGGTTAAAGGGTTTGTTTCAAGTTTTCCTTCTTTTTACAGTGCTGTTGTCCTGAGTAGTTTGCGCCCTTAGTCGGCTCTTACGACACCTACGGGATGAATAGGGGTGGTGACAATCCGTATTCTTAATCCGTCACCACACGGACAAGTAAATTATAAATCTATTGTACAACGACCGTTGGAATGCACTAAAGATCATAGTCATGTCATTTAACTTAACCTTAAGAGATAGACAATAGTTGGCCATAGCAACGCATAACTAACATGAGGCGATATAAGTAGAGTGGTGACATAACTTTTGATTACTTTGTTAATGCAGAAGTGTCTCCGCTATATGTTTTTGTCAGTCAGCAATAGTTGCTGAATGTAATTTGTTTACTGAAGAACTGTGGCTTGCTTACATTTTCCAATCCATCTGTATAAGCAAAATCACTTTTTTATTATTCCCATCCCTTCTTATCCACATTTTCTTTCCATATACCTACTCTCAATTTTCTTTCGGGCTTAACGCCCATTAGGTAAGAGGGACTAAAATTATGGCTGACAAACACAGTCATTGCAATCACTTAAGCCATAAATCGCTATCTAATCCTAACGATATAATTATATTGAATAAATATAAGGCACGTAAATAGACGAAATCAATGGTCAGTGACAGCTGTCGTAACCTTTGTAACTTTTTTTTAGAAGCGCGGGACACGATATTTCGTCCTATTTATCTGTTTATTATTCTTCTATTATTTTAAACAAACGCCTTATGATATATGATTTTGGCAGGTTATATGCCACTTGTTGGATTACAAAGATGTATGCACATTGACAAAACCAACACGTTTAATTTTTTTTAACCCGAGTTAGGTAAATTGAGATTTAGCAAATTTATGTGAATTTTCTATTTTGTAATTTTAATTATTATTAAAAAAAAAAAAAAAAAAAAAAAAAAAAAAACACTGGCAAAATGGATTCACACATTATAACTTTCTTCTCGTATACTTGGGGCGTGCTATCGAAAATTTAAAAATGGTAACAAGTGTTTTTACAATATTTCTTGAATTGCACAGTGACTTTATATGCGTCCAAATATCGGTGACTCTCTCGCTCGAAAATATGCACGAATGCTCATGCATGCGCGTGTATTAGGTGCTAATTAACATATATAAAGTACATTTATAGCTGACCATTTCCTAATTCTTTAACTCGTATTTCCTTTTTTGTTTCATAAATTTTGGGCATAATTTTTTTTTATATCGGTCGCCGCAACACACTTGATATTATACCCATCACCAAGGGACAAAAGACGATAAAGGTTTGGTTTCTATTCAAGTATTAAATTAACATCAAATCTGGATGAATAGATTTTCCTGATGACTCAATCAACTTAGGGCTCAAGAGTAATCTGTTTTAAATAATTAAACTTACGCGCAAGTTACTATGTCGAACACTTGTCGCACTTCTTTTGTTTGTACTATTAAAGCTACCTCCACTTTATCTTCGTCAAGGTAGTCCGCTAGGTATAATCGTACCCTCTGAAATTAATTAGACAATACTAGCTTTAATATATTTATAGTCAAACATCACATTGTGTAATAAAAACAAAGTAATAAAGACAAAAATTAAGAAAAAAAGGAATCATTAAATAATAAATACTAAAATACCTATCAGCATAATAGACTGTACTAAATAATAATATTAGTAAATTCTTAAATGCCTTTCGTGCAAGAACAAAAAAATATAAATAACAAATACCTTGGTTTCGTAAGGACAATTATGCCAGTCGCTTTTGGGCGATAGTATAGAAGGTAAATATTCGTCTGGAAATATTTGTTCTTCTTCAGTTCGTATCGATCGAGTGAATCTCGTACTGTTCACCTGCAAAGATCTCATAAAATTACATACCATAATGAATACTTAACTTGAAAAATTATTGCGCCAGTCTGGAAAAGTTCCGACCTCGGCGCTTACTCGGCGCAAGCTTATACGAGAAAATTTTTATCTCATGTAATGTAGCCGTTTCACCTGACATCACCTGAGGTGGCAATCGAAGGCCGCATTGGGCGCTAACTAGCTTTATCCATTTAAAATCAAGCCATCTGCCATCCAGTTATAGATATCATGCGCTCCCAGGCACGTGAGAAATACATTCTCCATTTAAACAATGCACTCGCTACGGCCACCATCGAGGATGAAAAAGGTGACATCATAAAGTACTATTGCTCTAACTTTGATTAAAGCTATTGCATTGAATTAAGTCACTTGTACTATTCCACAATATTCATTTTATTAAACCTGACCGCTTTCGCCTCACGGCCTTTTTAAAGGGTATTATAATATTTACCGCTTAACATTAGATTATAAATGCTTAAAATAATAATACTTATAATGTAGGTAGTTCAAAATAATATACAATATTAGTTACATTACAGTTACCAGTACAAGGACAAGTGACTTCATATGACACGTGTAGCCAGTTCCACCAAGTGTCATCAATCAACAGTATAAATAGTTTGATTAAAGCGTCTAAAACAGTCTGGTCTTGTGCGACTGTTGTTTTGCCAAAGTGAAGCTCTTTTTTTCAAGTCAAAGTAAAAAAAAAACTAGCCTAGTTCTGTTTCGTGTTTTAGAGATTTGGTCATAAATAGATGACAGACACAACCTCTGTTCTAAGGAGAGGCCTATGTCCAGCAGTGGACTATTAAAGGGTGTTGATGAAACAGACATACAATTTTAATATTTTGGTATCTCTGATTACTAACCTTCAGAAACTGCCTGAATACAATATCCATTTTATCTTCAAATAGTTCATAGCCTTCAGGCTTGTAAGGACAATATTGCATACCCCTGCACGGCTCTGGAACGCGTATCACGGTGTCTAAATCTGGAAATTCGTCAAAAAAGTCATTTATAGAAACATAAGAAGTCGTTCTAATAAACTATTCTGTAAATGATGCTCCAGTGATATGGATTCGATTATTAGTAAATTAAAATTAATTGTAATATGCATTGAACATAAATTTGAACATAAAAATTGACACTTTAAGTACAATACTCGTAAAACTTATTCAGATTAATTTCGGAGCCACCATCAAAGTAGGCTATAAGAACTAGTCGTATTTTGGCAGTGATTTTAAAATTTTTCGTAGTTTTTTTAATTTTTTTTAAAGGTTTTGGTGAGGTATAATTATGTCCTTAAAAATGCAGTAAAACACTGATTTGGTTACAGTGAGAATGAGAAGCAGTATATCGTAAGAAGGAAAATAAAAATCGAATAAAAACTCACCAGATGGCTTAGAACTGCTTGTAGCTAGAAGCATCAACGTCTGTCATAAAAAAAATAATTGTGAGTTAATAAGTCCAGAACGAAATCTAATATAAACAAGACCATAACCATCGGGTATTTAACCCAATAAACAGTCATAATATTGGTAAAATACATTTAAATAAAAAATGCATAAATGGGTTAAACATATTTATTGAAATTTCATAGTATGTATGGTTACTTAGTTAGTACCTTAGATTAATGTGACATTTTTTATGGTAGAGGGAGCAGACGAGCAGACGGGTCACCTGACGAAAAGTGACCATAGGCACCAATGAATGTCTGCAACTCAGAAGTCCCTTTTAGGTAGGAGTACGCTCTTTTCTTCTTATAACAGCTTTCTCAAAGGCGTCTACTTTATCTTGCATTTAAAGCGCTTCCTCAGACGTGTATTGCGCAGAGTAAGACTCACAAAGAGTACTCCTATGCCACTTTTTAAGCATTTTATTAGCATTTATCTTTTTGTGTATGAATTGCTAAGAAACATCTGAAATATATGACAGAATAAAATGTTAGGAAGTAGCAAGTACCTATAAGTATTTTATGTTTTCAAATAGAAATTTATGGCTATAATGGCTACAATATTTCTATGGAGAAAATGGGTACAAACAATATTATTTGCTTGTGATCATTTTCTCTATAATGAAGGCATTTTTTCTATATCTTTTCTCTAAGACGCAACTCTTTAACTAACTAACTTACTAACTAAAAACTTATATAAGAATAACTTAAAATGTACCTGCTAAGTATTTCATTTTAATTCATTCGGTCATTTCAATTTTAAAATACGGTTATGGACAGGAATGGACTATGCATCTGGCATCACTTACCCATTGATACAGCAACGTCTTCTCTTTGAACGGTAGCTAAATGGACGCTAGCGTTTAGACACGTTCCGTTTACATGGTAAAAAATATCACTTTCTGTTTTTATGAATCGTGCATAACTTTTTACAATCAAATAAGATTTTTTAAAATACGTAAGTATTTTAAAAACTCTTATTACCACAAAGTTAAAATTAAATTTAGATTAAATTGCAAATAACAAGTTGACAGCTGAATGTCATTTGCCCGCCCGGTAGTGCTCTGGTCAACAAGTATAAAACCTTTACCATTACCGTCATAAATTTAATTGAGAGAACATACGGAATCCGGTCAATAATTATTTTTTAAAAGGTTTATTAAAATATTTTAAAATATGTTTTAAATTGTTAAACAAGTTAAAAATAATAAACCCTGTGGTATTTTTTTATTCAATATTAGATTTGTTAATTATTATAAACATTCAAACTCAATCAAATCTTACTATAAGAGTATAAAAACAATTCCACTCACAACAAAGACAATAATGTTTAATTGCACCATTTTGCTTCCAATTTGAGACCCGTATACGCTAGATAAGTAATCGGTATAAAAATCTTGCCCTTTACATCTAAATCGATTGTTCTTTTAACGAACCAAAAGTGGGCTCTGTATTGCGACTAATGAACAGTCGTATTATTATGGGCCTTTATATATCCACAACAGGAAAATATGAAATTAATGTGTAGATAGAGTGGGTATTAAACATTTTCAAATTGTGCTGTGTCCAAATAATGGTTCAAATCGCAAACACGTATAGAATTTATTTTCTTTACGATTTTCCTTACCTGAGCGTATTTTCTTACTAGTTAACCCGTCGTACTACTGTATTACTTTGTTTGCGTTTTTTATATTTGTGTGTTTTGCGATAATAATAATAATTTGTAGTCCTTGACACAGACCGTATAGTGAGAAGGTTCCTATCTTTGGAGTCCTAACCACCGGTGTCTTGGTCACTGTATTCGATGTCGGAGGTCTATTATCTTTTATATTTTAAAATATGTATTTTTTATAAAGTGTAAGTTAAATCAGTTATGTTAAGAAACATAACTGATTTAATTATAAAATAAATAAGAGAATAATAATAATAATATTCTACCACATTCACACAACATTATCTAGTCCCAAACTAAGCAGAACTTGTACTATGGTTACTAGATAACTGATATAAATATATATATACTTCTTTTTGTAAATACATTCATATTATGCATAGAAACACCCAGACCAAATCAAACATTAAATGTTCATGCACTCAAATGTTTGACTTGAGCGGGAATCGAACCCGTGGCAGACCGTTACACAAACCACTACGCCATCCGGCCGTCACACAAGGAATATTTTGTTTCATACCCTAAACGAGTACCTAGGTAAAAAAGGTGTGTCGTGTAGGTTTCTACAGGAGAGGTGAGAGGATTCTGCACTGTGGATACGGATCCTTCTCCGGTGGACCGGTATGCTGGTACCTTACTGGGACTCGTTTGATAGTATTCCTGCTTAGGCAAGAATACTATCAAGGCTGAGGTGAATTCATCTAGGTCAGATGACAGTAGGTCATCTGACCTAGATGGGACCTAGATTTGGTAGAATTCACCTCAGCCTTGTGAAATCACAATATAGCTACAGTTGAATGATTTTATAATACGTCAAAAGTGGAAATACGCTAATGGAAAACACAATCTTTTTACATGAGCAAATATTTTGAATGAACATGTTTACTTTTTAAATCTTGTTTTTTAAAGTGACTCATGTGGGCATAATAAAAAGTTGAGTGTAATTTCATCTTTATGTACTTTATTTTTAAATATTTTGTGTTATACAAAAATTACCGAGTAGGTAAATTTTATCAGTTGGTTGACTATTATTCTTAAATTAACAAGATTATTGTTTTCACTTGTAAAATTACAGATTCCTAGTACATGTACTACACAGGAAAGACAGGACAGTTAGACGGGTACCATAATAATGAAAAACCATTTATAATAAGGTGTATTGTTGATCTCTTCATTTTTCACTAATAACGGTGGAATATTTTCTTCAAATTTAAATGGGATCAACCTTGAGTAGAACATTTAAAAACTTAAAACTCAAAAGTGGTTCACAAACTGTTAAAATATCGCGTAACATTCATTAATAAAAATAAAAAAAAACTGGCAACGCGCTTGTGACTCCTGAGTTGTAAGCGATCTTGGGCTGCGGCAGTTACTTGCCATATGCTTGTTTGCCCTCTATAATTTAAAAAATATATACCGTTCAATTAAGAACCTCTTCCTTTTAGATGTCTGAATCTCAGCAACTGGTTAAAAAAATAAAAGGTTATCACTACCTATAAATATTGCCTGTTTCCGACTAAACTTCATCAATCATTATCATTAACAGCCTATAATATTCCACTGCTGGACATAGGCCTCTCCAAAGAAAGGAGGCTTTGGCCTACTATACCACGCTGGCCAGACGGGTTGGTGTAAGGTTTTTTTTTTAGTTTTCCTTCTCTTTGCAGTGCTGTTGCCCTGCGTGGTTTGCTTCCTTAGTAGGCTCTTACGACACCCACGGGTCTAATAGGGATACGATTTTTTAAAATAAAATTTAGAACATTATTCTAAATCCGTCACCACACGATCTATGACAAAACTAAACCTATCGATTTTAATTTGTATTAATAACGTTTATCAGAAAACCACAAAATAATTAACACGCAATATTTCGCTTTAAAATAATATTTGTTGTTTCTAATCTCAAGAAATATATATATTACAATGTATATATCATCAACAGCCTTTAATAGTCCACTACTGGACATATGCCTCTCCTTGGAAAGGAGATGTTGGCCTTTCTTTGCCCTACTTACTTAGAATTAGGATTAGGTGAATTATATATCTTAATAAATTAGTTTGAAATTACATACATACATAATTATATGATATGATAAATAAATGAGTGTGTTCATTACACACTATTTGTCTTAGGTGGGAATCGAAACTACAACTTCTGGATTAGCAGTCAAGATCGCTAAGCGCAACAAGCAACTAATGTTTCAAAGACTCGAGACGTTTATTTACTGTTCAAATTTAAAAGCATTTTAAGACTGACACAGATACACAAATTACATCGCTCTACTTAACCTAAGAGTTGGCGGTTTCAATCGTTTGGCCATTGACCTATGATTTTATTAACAGTCAAAACTCGTGCGCTAGATACGCATTATTTGATCTGTGCCTGGGTTTAATTTATCTAGGTAAAGTATAGGCTCAGCCTACTGCCTGCCTTTAGAAATTAAGCTAAAGCTGATGATCATTTTGTAGATGAGCCTTTACGAAGGCTGTATTAGTTAATAAACAGGTTCTTAATAAATGTTACATATCTACCGTACATGTTCTAAGTGCGTAAACGGTACTCTTAAAAACCCGATTAATTTTACCAATTACATTTAAGAAAAACCCTTTCCTTATAAGTAGCTTATAATACGTATTGATAAATATTCTTCAGATTTGATGTGTGGGCATTCCCATGTGACAGTTATTCGCAATTTTTCCTGTATTGATATGAAAGTAACAAATTGCTTGATCTCATTGCCAATTGACTATCCTTGAAAACCAAAATTGAGTCAAAATTTTATGAATCACTAATGACAGAAATAGTTAATTACATTCGTCATTGTAAAGGGTTTATCAAAATTTAAAAACAAAGTGGCAAAGTATAGTTTTTTTTTAAATTATATTTTAAAATTGACAATAAACACAATTCGCCTACTCTACAACGGACTAAAGGAACTCTTTGTTGTGCAGTAGTTTAGTGATTGTTACTATTAACTAAAAAAGACGCACATTGTTCGTATAATACATTAATACTCTATTCATTCTTATAATTTCTTCTATGATAAGTGGCTGATTTAATTAAACATAATATCGAAATTAATTTAAAAAATATATTATTTTTTAACCATTGATTGAATGAAACCTACTATTTATAATTTTTTCGTCATCCAGGCCAGTTATACCCAAAGTGGTCGAAATCGATTTTCCAGGGGTCGACGTAAACGAAAATTTATTTTAGGGGTCGACGAGGTCTAAAATTTGAGCTCCATTGATTAAAACAAGATCTTATTGAGGACCACTTATCAAGAGTATATGCTAATAAAAAAAGTAATCTCTTTACTCTTTAAAGCACTTAAAGAGAAACTAGAGAAAAGGCCAACTTTAAAATCAATATTTGCATCATCATCTATGCGGACGTTGATGATTTACAGGCGTCCTATAATAGATCTTTAGTAAGAGTGAAGTCGGGGAAGCCCTACACAATATGAGTGCAGCTTATTTTACCTCCTAAGGTCCTGAGGTCCTCAACAATAACTCCTTAAAACAATAAAACGATTCAAAAATGAATAGACGAGATGGGTCGTGACACGGAAAACATTTTATGCAACTTCTGGCTCTGTTGTTAGGATGTATTTGATATATTAATGATGACAAACTGTACCAAGAACTGCTTTTTATAATGTGATTTTATAGCTTACTTAAAGCGAGAACTGCTTGAGGTACTGGTCGTTCACTGCATAATTCACAGACAGCATTTGTAGAAAAAAATCTTTACAATATGTCATAAATGCTGTCAACAAGATTTGAAACAATTCTTTGAACTCTTGGTTATTTGCTTAGCTATGTGAGGAAAACGGTTTACTTGTAAAACAGATATTTATTACTTTATTGATATCTTGGGTATGTTTAATAAAGTTAACGACGAGCGGCAAAAAATACAAAAATCAAAACCTGCATCTAATAGATCTAGTAATCGCTTTGATAATATTACTTTATATATTGGCCTGTCCATGTGTAATGACAGATTAAGAATGCAGAGTGTTCATCCTATTCATTCCGTGGGTGTCTTAAGAGCCGACTAAGAGAGCAAACTACGCAGGACAACAACACTGCAAAACTTGAAACAAACTCTGTACCAACCCGTCTGTCCAGTGTAGTTTAGTAGACCAAAGCCTTCTTTCTTTCTAAGGAGAGGCCTCTGTCTAGCAGTGGACTGATAGAGGCTGTTGATGATGATGTTAAATATTAGCCAATTTCCTAAAATTCAGGATAAAACGGCAGATGACGATATTGTAAAGAGTGCCTTTTCCATAACAGGATAATAGGATTGTTTTTTCTTACAACTTGTACCCATGACTCAGCGTTTCAATATGTAAGTATTTCGTATCAGTAGGAAAAAAAAGGTAGAGAGATAGAGGTAGGATTTTTAAGTAATTTGGATATGGGGTCTGAGGTATCAGTACATTTGGAAAAGAAGTCTTTTGCCCTAAATAATTTAGAAATCCCTGGTCCAGGCCTACATGCGGCGTCGCCGGTCCTTTCGCGATCTCCGCCCTTCGGAATTCTGGCCAACATGGACCTGATGGTCTATGACCCAGTGAGCTCTGTCGGTCGGATACCTATTGCTACCGATTGAGGGTAAGGACCCTTGCGCCATCACATTAGCCAAGCACTGTTGGTTACGCCGGC